CCACCATGCCCGGCTAATTTTTGTATTTTTAGTAGAGACGGGGTTTCACCGTGTTAGCCAGGATGGTCTCGATCTCCTGACCTCGTGATCCGCCCGTTTCGGCCTCCCAAAGTGCTGGGATTACAGGCTTGAGCCACCGCGCCCAGCCTGATGCTTTTTAAAGAATGGTTTAAAGACCATTTGCATCAGAACCATCAGAGGAGATATAGTCAAAATTCAGATTTTCTAATCCCCCTACAGATGTATGAAATAAGTATTGCTGTTTGTAGAATTCTGGAATTTGCAATTTTTACAAGCATTTCAGGTCATTTCTAAATAGAGTAAAATTGGAGAATTGGCTGGGTGTGATGGCCCACACTCATAATCCTAAAACTCTGGGAGGCTGAGGTAGACAGATTGCTTGAGCAGAGGAGTTGGAGACCAGACTGGGCAACATGGTGAAACCCCACCACTGCAAAAAAATACAAAAGTTAGCCAGGTGTGGTGGTGCATGCCTGTGGTCCCAGCTACTTGGGAGGCTGAGATGGGATCATTGCTTGAACCCAGGACAGGGAGGTTGCAGTGAGCCAGTGAGCCATGATTATACCACTGAACTCCAGCCTGGGTGACACAGCCAGACCCTGTCTCCAAAAAAAAAGAAAAAGAAAAAGAAAAAGGGAAAAGAAAGATATTGAATGCTTCAAAAATATATCTATAAAGTTGGAGAATAATTCATGCAATCCAACTTCTTTGTTTCTCAGAAACATGAAATCACTTGTCTGGGTATTTTAAGAATCAGTTTCAACTACCCTGGCCCAGGGAGTTTTGTATTACTGTACACTGATTTTCCAGAAGATTTAGTAATGAGAATGACAAATTTTGGTGATAGGCAAGAGGGGGCTCTTTGTAAGGGAGCAGATCATTGGGCAGCAGTATGAGAGGAAACCATCTATCAAGCTGTCCATAACTTGCAGTGAACATTGGGCATGTATTTCACTGGCAATAATTATACTGGCTAAATTTTGAGTGCTATGCCAGGTGTTGGGCAGTGTGCCATCTGCCTCATCTGTGTTACCTATGTCAGAGCCAAGGGAAATCTTCCCTTTTGCCCTGTGATGTTAGGCTAAAAATCACTGACAAGAGGCAGATGAATAGGAGAAAAGGCATACTGATGTATTTGATCATAGTTTTATGTGACATGGGAGCCTTCAGAAAAAAGATGCAAAGATACAGGGGAACTTGTCTATGTTTATGCTTAGGTTTAACAAAATGTAGAAATATTATGTACAAAAGGGGTGCAATCTGATGCTAATAGGCTGCATGGGGAAACCCAGTAAGGCCCTCTTTCTAGACTCTTCTTGGCCTCTCTGTGCAGCCTTCCTTCCTGCTGGGGATGGGGCAGGACCCTTTCTGGAAAAGGGGTCTTGTGACCTACAGTCAAACCAAGTCAGTCAGATAATTTCTTTATGGCCAGTTTTTACACAGAAAGGCAGTGGAAAAGTGGGAGTAATATTTTTAGATTTTTACGGCTGGCTTTGGAGAAAAGGGGTTCTGGTTTCTGTGACCTTCCTTGGGGAAGAGGGATTCTGGTTTCTACCAATAGCCTCCGGGGAGAACGGGAGTGAGAGATAGGAGGACAGAAGGTCAGAGAGAAACTTTTACTTCTGAGGCTGCTTCTGAGACCTTCATTTTTGTGGTATTGTTTTCTGAGTCCCAAGATGTGCCCGAATTCTCAAAGCAACCCAGTATGAGAAAACTGTGGCTCAGGAAGGTTAAGTAACTTGTTTGCAGCTAGGACCAGGACTCTTATCCTGGAAGTTTGATTCCAAACCTCTACTTCTGGGTTTATATAGTCAAAGTAAAATAATATTGCTAGATAGAACAGTAGCCAGACTCATTCTAAAAATTAGTTCTAAAAATTGTGTGATTCCACAAGTCTATACCTAACCTGGTAAGAAATGCAGGAGCCTGAAGGATTTACCAGATAAGACTATGGGATTCATTGGCCAATTGCAGTCTTGACCTGTACTGTCAATTCTCAAAAGCTGTGTTGTTTGACCTTCTCTGTGATTGTGTGAGTGTAGATAAATCACTTCCTATGTAAGGGGCTCAAGCCCATCAATGTGTAAGATTGGGGGAACCATACTGGAAGGCCCTTGGGTTTCCTTCAGGTTTGGCCATGCATTTTTTTCTGATAAAGATCTTTGGTTTTGTCAACTATAGTCACTGTTTATGACTGTACGTGAGAGGTGAGAAACATATTGAGCCACATACAATTTTTTCTATGGAATTATAAAGGGCTTTCTAAAATGTGTTAGTGAGTCTGTGACATTGATGTTTTACATTAGCTCCTCAATAAACTGACAAAATCAACTGAGAAGTTGGAAAAGGAAGATGAAAATTACTACCAAAAAAACATGGTGGGTTATTCTACCAGACTGAAATGGGAAAACACACTAGAGAACTGCTACCAGGTAAGTTATATATTCACATTTTTTTCTTCTTCTGTGGAGTTTTGTGTGACCTTGAAGATGGAGGTCAGATCTACAGTGACAAGACCTGCCCTCTGTCATAGCTATGAGCATCACACATATTGTGACTCTAGACAAACCACCTTTCCTCTCATTGTTTCAATTTCTCCATGGATACAATTACTAGTGACAATTTATTGAATTTCATTGGCCAGAGTTTCTGTTCCTAATTCTTAGTGAACAGGATAGCACCCAGCTAACTTCAAAAAGTGCTGTCAAAGTGAAGTGTAAATTAAGGATTAAGTGTTAGGTGGTTGGAAATTAGTTTTAGTCATGAGCGATGACTCACACAGTGATCGCTTATGGAGGTCAGGCATTGTGTTAGGCACTGGAGATACAGAACATTGAATAAAGTAACATCTCAATGCTTGAGATGTGTACATCTCAGTGGCAAAAGTAGACACATAAAGAAGGAATTGTGGCAAATTATCTGATAACAATAGGCAAAAGATGTCAGCAGGCACATCACAAAAGGAGAAATCAAAATAATCAATAAACCTATGAAACAATGCTAGATTATTTGGCAAAAATTAGAACTTGACAATATCAAGTATTGGTAAGGATGTTAGGAAACAAGAATTACTGTACCCTGTAGGGGGAATAATTTAATGATATTTGGTGAAACTAAAATAAGCATGTACTTACCACACAGCAGTTCCCTAAAGCAGTTTTTAGGCATATATCCTACAGAAAAATGTATACTTTTATTCCAAGAGTGATGCACAAGAATGTTTATTGCAGAATTGTTTATAATTCTGTATGCAATCTTCATACCCATCAAGAGAAGAATTACTCTTCAAAGATGCTCGCATTTGGAAAGCGAACTAATATCCATCGATGAAGTTAATTAAGACTATATTTAAACATGAGTTAACCTCAACAAACATGATGTTGAAGAAAAGAAACATACCACTTACACAATCTGTGTAAATTAAAATTCTTTTAAACTCATGTGGAAACTATACTGAGTTTATATGTGTGTGTTTGTAAACTTACACATATAGACTGTCCATGTATTCAGTGGCAGAAATGGAGCCCACGGTGGGAATACAACAGAACTGCCAGAAACAGCCACACAGCTTATGCACGGCCCTTGGTGAAGCAGTACAACCCCAGGCTCAACATGAATATGACCAAATTAAATAACTATCAATTCTGGAGAGTAAGAACATGCATATTTTGGTTTTATTTTTCCCCACCTGTTTTAAATTTTTTTTAAAAAAGTGTTTAAAGCAGATATGATTGGAGAAAGCCATGATCTAATGGCTAGCATGGAACAAGTGCTTGGTGCTCAGTGCTCCTCTTTTAGGCTGTGCTAAGCACATTCATGTGCTTCTGTTTTGTATTAATCACGACATTATGAGGACATTGAGGCTGGAAAGATGAAGCAATGAGCCTGAGATGGTTTCAAGATTCAGCCTGGACCTCTGTGCTATGCTCCTGCTCCAGTGAAAACTGGGAGAGCAAAGGCTATGTGGCAGGCGGAAACCCAAGGGCTGCATTTACATCTCTTGCAATTCAACCACTCAGAGCAGGATAGATTCAGAATTAGAGAAGAAAGGGGAAATTAAAGGAGATGAAAACTTGGGTCAAAAATAGGAACAAATGAGAAAAAATTCCTTAATTTACACCTTTAAACATAAGCTTCTGGTACTCTCCTTGCTTATGCTAGATAGATTTTAGATGAAGGTGATGAGAAAAGGTCAGGGATTTAAATTCTAACTTCATTCATTTGAAATCTGGCTCTGCAACCTGGGCTCTGATCTTGCCTCACCTCACCTCATCACTTCCTGATGGAGCCGTGGTCTTTCCACTGAGGACAGCTTCCTTGGATGGCCCTGTTAGGAGATGGGAGAGACATTTCTGCTCCCACTCCATCTTCCAGGCACCCACCCTTCAAGGGCTGTGAGAAAGATATTTCACCTCAGTGTCTCTATCCTCCTCACCCTTCTACCTACATCGCAGCAATGGGAGATAAATGGGTCCTACCTGGTGTAGCTGATAACTAGCTTACCTTCAATGATAAATGGGTCCTACCTGGTGTAGCTGATAACTAGCTTACCTTCAATATATGTTAGGGAAGGCTATGATTATCTTCATTATCAGAAGCTCTTACTACTCAGTTTCCTTTCCTCCTGATAAGATCCTCTACATCTTTCCCCTCCAACCACTACTCCCCCTTCTCAGCATTCTTAGAGTTTATATTGAAGCATCATGGAAATTATCTCTTTTCTTACAGTCTTCCAGATAGTAACAAGGTATACATTCATTTACATTTCAAAAGGCATCTTTCAACTTCAGCTCTCAAAATATTTAAGACCTAGTTTAGTTTCCTTCCTTCCTTCCTTCCTTCCTTCCTTCCTTTCCTCCCTTCCTTCCTTCTTTCTTTCTTCTTTCTTTTTTTTTCTTTTTTTATCCAAGTCACATGGAATATCTACTCATCATAATGTCCTTGAGGAAGAGCATTTTCTTTCTCCCCTCTTGTATCCTGGATTTTTGCTACCGCTATGCTGGAGGCCACCAGTGTTTCAGTCCTTCTCCTTTTTAGTTCAAACAGCTTCTCTTACCCCACCTTCCTCTGAGTTCTCTCCTGCCACCTGAGAGCCAGCTCAAGCCCATTAGACAAAACGTGTGATGACTTCTGTCAAGTCACTCTTGCTTCACTTGAACCTTCAATAATGATGCCCTTGGTTGGTATTTCCTGGGCTTGTGTATACTCAGTCTATACCAGCAGGTCATTGACTCACATATTACTCTATGAATGCCATATTTTGCATATGTTTATGACATTCAAGAGTCAAATGTTAGATTCATGAATCATATAACAAAAACAGCCTGAATTGACTCAAAGAGAAATTTTATTATAAGTGTTAGCAATGGAAATGGGACAGTTAGGGTCTCTCAGTTTCATTTTTTCTCCATTCTTTCACCATTCTTCTATAAAAATTGAATGTAAGAATTCATTTTAGGGTCCTACAAAGTGTCCTCTTCTTTCTTTTTACTCTACATGGTGGATTTACAAATTCTTTCAGAGAACATTCATTGAACTACATTCAAGGCAGTGTACTAGATACTGTGAGAAATATTGTAAAACCTCAACTGTGACCATAAGTAATGAAACCAATTCCACAAACCACATGTCAAAATTAGTCTTATTACTTCACAATCATGCTATGTTCTAGCCACATCCTACCCTCCAAGAAGAAACAATTCAGATGATAGAAATAATCTATATTTTTCACAATAATAGCCATACTACCAAGAATTACAAAGAATTAAATGCTTGGGACTGAAGTACTCACTCAAGGAAGTATTTTAAAAAGCCATTTGCGATATGTGTCAAGAGCCTTAAAAATATTCCCTTTCTCAACCAGTGTTCCTCCTCTAAATCCCAGAACACAGAAAATGATTCGAGTGGCTGTTTTCTCAGTTCTCCCAAGGATGGCACTTGAGTAGTCCCACTCTAGATGAGAGGAATAACAACTCGTTACATACAATGGACGCCTCAGGACAGTAGGGCTTCATTCTTTCCTAGGACTCTGTTGAAAAAGGTAATTTCCTTTCTCTAAATCTGTCTTGAGGAAATAGCTGACAAACCAGACACAGATTTCTATTTGAAACAAAAGTAAAAGTCAGGAAACATTGCAAATGTCCAACATTAAAGGGATGACTGAATGAATCACCACACGGCTGCACAATGGACGATTATGAAATAATTAAAGTGGTATTTTCAGAGACTAATGACACGGGAAACTGTTCACATGTATGGTTAAATGGGAAAACCAGGATTTCAAATTTGAATAATTTGATAGACAACTGGAAGATAAAATCGTACATATACACATACCTAGACTGAAATATATCAATATGTTAATAGCAGTCACCTCTGGGTGGAAGAATTATGATTTTAAAAATGTATTTTTTGTGGGCCTTTGTGGCCCTAGGACAATGTCTCAGAGCACCTGGGGTGCTTGTTAAAAGTCAGATTCCTGAGCGCTTCCCTAGACCTGGGAGCCTCTAAATCAATCAGAGCCTCTGAATGATTATAAAGAGGGGTCTAGGTATTCTAAAGTTTGAGAGTTCCTGCTCTAGAAAGAGCATATTTCTTTTATCTGTTCTATGACAGTCATTTAAATGAAAACAAAATCCCTTTGACCTCTTCCTGTAGTACCAGCCCAAAGGCTAGGACAGTGAGAACTGGAAGGAATGAATGAAGAACATAAATTGTCATGATGCTTGGGTCCCAAACAGGCTCTAAATCTGCTGAAATCTGAATCTTTCTGGATAACTCCTTGACCACACTTTCTTCATATGTACTATTGAGGTCCTCCAGAGTATCTGGCTTCTCTACCACTTATTTTATGTAAAAAGAACAAGATAATAGAAAGCAACAAATCATTAAATGAGTTATGGATCTCTCCTTTGCACAGTGGAATTTATTTCCTCCTCTTTTTATGAACAAACATAGATCATTTTAATGATTTCCCTGAAATGTAATTAAAATCTGTTAAGCATTACCATGTCACTAAGGGACACTGGTTATTCTAGTCTCAGATTGATGCTAGTGGTTCAGCACTTGTCAAAGTAAAGAAACACCTGTCCACTAGGGATGCAATATGTTCTAAAATGTGGCTTTTATTTTCTCTTGTCTTTTACTCATAGGCTAAAACAGAAGAGCTGCTTTCTAGATCTTTTTCTATAGGGTAAGGACTTCTTTGTGAAGATTGTCACATAGGAGATCCAAACAACTGAGCAGAATTTGTTTTACATATTTCTTATGAGGCATATCGATTCTGCCCTTTAAGAAGCAAAACATTTGATAGGCTGTTCTGTGTCTTTAATCCTTTGTCTGGGAGGCAGAAGGGCAGACAGACACATTCAAATGACTGGTGCCTCCAATTTTGTGAAAGCCTCAGGGGACTGCCAGCATAAACAAATCCATTTGACTCCCATTGACATATGAAAATTGGGCAGCTTCAGAGGCAACTAAGAAGACTGCCATGGGGGCAAGGTTCCAGGCTTCCAATCCAAATGTCAGGACACTTGGTACAAAATCTAAAGTTGCATGTGATTGGCACAGATGTTCATAGTTACTGCCTGAACCTGTTACTACTTCCATTTACAAGCAGTGTTCAAATGACTATATACCAAAAATCAAAATGTAGTATATACATACCATGGAATATTATTCAGCCAAAAAGGAAGGGAATTCTGGCACATCCTACAACATGGTTGAACCTTGCAGACATTATGCTAAGTGAAATAGCCAGATGCAAAAGAACAAGTAGTGTATGATTCCTCTTGTAAGAGGTACCAAGAGAAGTTAAATTCATAGAGACAGAAGGTAGAATGGTGGTTGCCAGAGTAGGCAGAGTGTAGGAAATAAGTTGTTTCATGGGTACAGTTTACTTTTGCAAGATGAAAAAAGTTCTAGAGATGAATTATGGTGATGGTTGTACAATAATGTGAATGCATTTAATGACACTGAAATAGATGCCTAAGGTGGATAAAATGGCGTGTCATTTTATGTAAATTTTACCATAATTAAAAGTATAAAGAAATTTAAAATAATTTTAATCACCATATACCATAAATGAATTAACAACACAGGGATATAGAAGAATACCCTACTGGATCAGGCCAGTGGGCTCCTGTAGGAATGCCAAAAGGTGAGCAAGGAGAACCCAGTGATCTTTGTGACTCTCCATTCTCACCTCTTGCACTGCCAAGGGCCTTGAGACATACCCATCTTTCTTCTTCCCTATGGTCGTGTTACCCACCAGTTTGCCTAACGCCTTGTTCATGAAAGATGATTGCTGGTGATCTCTGTGGGACGGAGGAGTTGGGATAGTGGTTATGAGAGCAACCGAGCTGGCCTTCTTTGGATAAAAGGATGAATGCCCAGGCCTTGTTTGTTTTTTCTCTTTCTTTTCTTTCTTTTTTTTTTTTTTTGAGATGGAGTCTCACTTTGTTGCCCAGGCTGGAGTACAGTGGCATGATCTCAGCTCACTGCAACCTCCACCTCTCAGGTCCAAGGGATTCTCCTGCCTCAGCCTCCTGAGTAGCTGGGACAACAGGCACGTGCCACTACACATGGCTAATTTTTGTATTTTTAGTAGAGATGGGGTTTCGCCATTTTGGGCAGGCTGGCCTTGAACTCCTGACCTCGGGTGGTCCATCCGCCTCGGCCTCCCAAAGTACTGAGATTACAGGCATGAGCTACTGCGCCTCGCCAGGCCTTGTTTTTACACATGCACACACACAAAAAAAAAGATGGGAAGAATTTTGTCTTGGACACCTGCCATCGCCATTAAAACCCAGACTCCCCTGGGCACATACCCAGCAGCCTTATGCTGCCCCCACATGGCCTTGGAATCTCCCTTGGTACTCTGCCTGACCCAGTCTTCTATAACAATGCTTAGTTGCTAAACCTTTCTGCCCTCTCTAAAAACCACCAGTCAGCAACTCAATTGGCAGGGATCTAATAAGTAACATTTTAAAATGTGTGTGTGTGTGTGTATATATATATATATATATATTTTTTTTTAATTTAATTTAATTTTTTTTGAGACAGAGTTTCACTCTTCTCGCCCAGGCTAAAGTGTGGTGGTGTGATCTCGGCTCACTGCAACCTCCACCTCCTGGGTTCAAGCGATTCTCCTGCCTCAGCCTCCTGAGTAGCTGGGATTATAGGCACACGCCACCACACCTGGCTAATTTTTGTATTTTTAGTAGAGATAAGGTTTCACCATGTTGGCTGGGCTGGTCTCAAACTCCTGACCTCAGGTGATCCTCCCACCTCGGTCTCCCAAAGTGCTGGGATTACAGGCGTGAGCCACTGCGCCTGGCCTCTAAAATGTTAATAGCTAACAAGGCAAATGTGATTCCTCTCACTTTGTTATTTACCCTTCCTACCTAAAAGTTGTAAGTCTAATAATGAAACTTCTATCATCTCACACAAAATAAAGAGGCTATGTGCCTACCTGCAAACAGTGGACTCTGACTCCCAGGCCTAATTTTAGGTAGAATTATGAATTGGTCAGGCTTTGGGATTATTCTCTTGTCAAATAATCTCCTTATACAGAGAATTTGTGGCTTGCCATTCTCTTCCCTGCAGAGACTAACAGAATGCCTGGAATGTACTATAAACAATTCTAAAACTATTGAGTGTCTCAATGCATTTCCAAGACATGGATATGGGCTTTCCCGGGCTTCATTCTCCTCTAGAATTCATAGATGTGTCTCAAATGCTTCCATTTCTTCTTTTCTCCCTCTTCCTTGTAAACTTAGGTAACCCACAGCATCTGCCTATATCCCTTTTGGGTCAAAAGAGCCTGGGGAAAGTGTGTGAGTTAAATCACTCTTAAAGGAGTGATTTAAGATACCAAGACACAGTTCTCTCCTGGAAATCTCCCTCCACTGTGGTTTGGATATGACATAGTCAAGAGGCTAATCATGAGACTTTGCTCAGTCTGTCTTCAGGTGTGTCAGTATTTGATAAGTGACTTCCGTTTTGCATAACAACCGGCTGATCTTACCCCAATTTTCATTCTTTTCAGAGCATTCTGGAGCTGGAGAAGGAAAGAATTCAACTTTTATGCAATAACTTAAACCAGTACAGCCAACATATTTCTCTTTTTGGCCAAACCCTGACCACAGTGAGTAGAGATGATCTCTCCATTTCTGGTATGCCTGGTAAGAAGGGGCAGAAACCTTTCTTCGACAACCTTATTCTGCTCCCCTTGGCATTGCAGTGCCACACGCAGATTCACTGTGCCATCAGCAAGATTGACATTGAAAAAGATATCCAGGCTGTAATGGAAGAAACTGCAATTTTATCTACAGAAAACAAATCTGAGTTCCTGTTAACAGATTACTTTGTAAGTATGAAATGGAAAAAAATAAGTTACATTAATGAAGAATCTTAGGTACTGAGGGACTTATATGGAAAAAATTGAAAGCAAATGCCATGTTTTATAAATGAAAATGATTTCTCATAGCCCATATAAATAAAAACACCCAGCGTTCTAGTTTACAAACTGGGCGATGGAAACATGTCTTTGGTATTTTCCAGAAGGAAAGAAAGTCAAGCAGGGTTTTAAACAGAATCTTCATATTCGGTCTTCTATAAAAGTATTGCCAGGTAGATATGTTTCAATGACCTATAATTAATCACTGTATATCACGTGGTGCTTAAATTCATTGTCTGCACAAATTGCTGTGCGACAAATCACCACCCCCCGCCACCGCCTTCCCCTGCCAAAATAATGGCTTAAAACAAACATGTATTATCTCATAGTTTGTGGGTCAAGAATTCAGTTGTCTTAGCCAGGTGTCTCTGAGCTCCTCCCAAGGCTGCAATCAAGGTGTCAGGCTGGGCTGCAGACACCTCCAGGCTCTTCCTGCAGAAGACTCACTTCCAAGCTGACTCACAGGGCTGTTGGCAGGCCTCCGGTCCTCACTGCTGTTGGTTGGAGATACCATTTTCTTGCCACATGGGTCTTTCCATGTCTCAGCCTGCTCCCCGCAGAATAAGTGATCAAGATAGAGCCAGAGTGCCCAATAAATTATAATCTTTCGTGAGCTAATCTCAGAAGTGACATCTCATCATATTCTATTTGTTAGAAGCAAGTCACTAAGTGCAGCCCATACTCAAAGGTGGGTGTGAGGCGAGATCACCCAAAGGCATGGGTTCTAGGAAGTGGGAGTCACTGTCAGTATTTTTCATGGTCCCTTCCCTTGAAAACCTTGGACCAGATAACCGGAGGCTTATTTTGAGGGCATTTGAGTGATTCTACTGTGGGTGTTTCGGCTGAAAACTGGTCAGTATCCCTGGTGAGAGCCTAAGCATGTTGCCTCTTTGCTATCTTGGGCAAATTATTTGTTCTTTTGGGTCAAGCCTCAAAGATTTTGGCCTCTGCTCCCCTCTTGATATTCTTAATTGTAGTGTTCTAGGAACTGATTATTAATTACCAAAATCTGCAGAAAGAATTCCTGATAGCGTTTCCCTGGGTCCTCTGCCATATTTTATTCAGGATTTCAAGCTCCAGATTAGGGGTGTCACTCTTCTCTGATACGGAGAACAAGCCCACTGATTATGTTCTCCATAGGGTTAGAAGTACAGCCAAAGCTGACCTTCCTAGACCTCTGATCAGGCAACAGGAGATGAGGGTAGAAGGGAGAGGCGGTTAGATCAGGCACAGCAGTAAATCCTGACTGGCTTTCCCTTTCCCTACCCTTCAGAGAGCAGCAAATGACCAGCTACTTTTTATTGAGTCTTTTTTTTCCTACCCTGGCAAAGGAGAAATATATTAGCAATATCAATGTCTGTTCAATGCAGAAACAAGGTAGAAATGGAAGTGGAAATGATTTGATTACAATGGGGAAAGCTCTTTTTTTCTTCCAAATAATAGGCAGGGCCTGAGATGGAAAAATATACAATAAAATAAATCTACTATTTTCTTCCAAAGAATAATAAAAATGCCCCTATCAAATAACTTGTCAGTAAAATGAAGATTATTCTCCTTGAAAATTTGACTAGGGTTCTACCAAAGTGTAAGGAGGCAGCCACGATGACTTCTCATTTATTGGCATGTTCAGGGAAATTTTTGGTTTCTATAAAACTTCACTGTATCAGAACTCACAACCATGTATCTGTCGTCCAAGAGAAAGGACTGTGTCTCAAAATGAGTGAATAGTATTTTCTTGACATCTTTAAGGCAAAGTACCCCCGTGTCTGACTTTATAGTCATTGTAAGTGTAGGTTGGTTTTTATCCAGTGTTACGAAATTTACATGGACCAGGGACAACAAAGAGACCAATCTGAGTGCAACACTTGGAGGGCTGGTGACCTGGTGAAAATACTTGTAAGGTTACCATAAATGCCGTTCAAAAGATGGTATCTCTAATTTTATATGCCTCCTCCAGTACTGACCTTCTTCCTAACAAATCTTTAGAAGAGAAGGACAAATGTGAGAGTTGAATGATGGCAATATACCCCATCCTGAAACTGACCCAGGAACAATCTATACCTGGAAATACATGTTTAAGCAAAAGATGTCCCCAAACAAACCAAGAGAAGCCTTGGACTGGTACGGGAGCTATGTGATGACTAACATTCCTTCAACAGGGAAGGACTAATGGTTTTAGTTAGGCATCTTAGCAGTTCAGTCAGAGTTTACTAGGGGGTGTGATGTCAGCTTGCGCCTCAGCTGTAGGCTGACATGTGAAAGGGTGGTAGAGAATTTGGGGTCAGCTTGGGCCTTCTTTTATTTATCTGTGTCACGGGTAAAATGAGGAAAATAAAACCAACCATTGAGTTGTAGGAGTTGCATATAATAAATAATATAAAGAAACTTTTATTTATTTATTTAATTATTTTGAGATGGAGTCTCGCTCTGTGGCCCAGGTTGGAGTACAGTGGCACAATGTCAGCTCACTGCAACCTCTGCTTCCTGGGTTCAAGTGATTCTCCGGCCCCAGCCTCCCAAGTAGCTGTGATTACAGGTGCACACCACCACACCCAGCTAATTTTTTGTATTTTTAGTAGACACAGGGTTTCACCATGTTGGCCAGGCTGGTCTCGAACTCCTGGCCTCAAGCAATCCACCCACCTTGGCCTCCCAAAGTGCTGGGATTACAGGTGGGAACCACTGCACCTGGCCTAGAATATAAAGAAACTTTTGTAATGTGCAATGCAAAATATGTAAATAAAATATTTTTATCTGTATATGTTTTTATAGAGGCTATTCCCTTTGCTCTAAATCCTCACACTTCTTGTTTGTGAAGCTCCATCTAAAGGTAATCTCTCAGCCGGGATCCTAATTTTTCTCCTTCCTTGTCAGAGAACCGGCATCCTCCCCTCCCACCTTGAGTCATTAGTTTCCCCTCTTTCTCCATAGGTTTCTGTCCCTCTGCCACACTCATGTTTAGCAACCTCCTCACTCCAACCCTACCATCCTATTCCTTTTTTTTATTCAATCCTTGAAATAATGCATGTGAAAGCTCAGATATCATGAATGATTCCTCATAGCCTATGTGATAAAATTCCTACATCAGCCCTAAAATCTAGCCTTAACTCCCTGAACAATTTTTTCTTCCACTATTTTTTTGCTCATGCAACAGGTGTCCTTATTGTTCCTGACACATTTCCCACAGTCCTCCCTCAGCCCTTTGCTCTCGCCATTTCTCCTGTCTGGAGTGCCCTTTGCCATCTTTCCTTGACTAGACAGTTAACATCTTCTTGCCTCCTTGAAGCCGTCAGCTGCCTCCACTTGTGGTGTCTGTACCATTCGTGAATGCATGTGGTCTTGTATTGCTAGTTTCTTTCATGTCATGCTTCAAGGCCTAACTAAATCATAAACCCATTCTGCGCAGAGCATATGTGTTTTAGCTCACATCTTCCCAGTACTGAGCCAACACAGAACTCAGTCAAAATGTCTTCCACTCCTGAGGCAGTCATAGCCCGAAGCACATACATGATATTACATTTGGGCCATTAAAGGACTCTAACTTGAACAAAGGTAAATAAGGAAGCAGTAAGTATACAACAAATAGATTTATCAAGAAAATGAAATAACTGTAGCAAGGGTCCGTCCTCAAAGAATAATTTGCTGTATTAAAAAGTGCTCGGCCATGTGACTTACAAGTTGTGAACAAGGAGGTATTTTCTTATTCATCAGGTCTAGAACAGGTAGAACGATGTATGTAAAACTGAAGATTATCCTGCTTAAATTTTTTTTTTTTTTGTAAAGTTAAAATTAAATGCAGCCAGTGGAAGTCTCAGTATGGACAGGGAATAGCAACTCTTACTTCTTCCCCTTGTTAGACATCCTTCTTTTTTCCTAAAGGAAGAAGATCCTAACAGTGCAATGGATAAAGAGAGACGAAAGTCTTTAATAAAACCAAAATTATTGAGACTGCAGAGAGACATTGAAAAAGCCTCAAAAGACAAGGAAGGTGTGTAACCATCTCTTTGAATGGCCAGAAAAAGGACCATATTATGCTCAGAGGTTTCATTCGGAGTTAGGATTAATCTGCTTTTGCTATTTGGCAGGGGTCATCTCATTTAAAGAACCATATATCAAACTTAAATTGTGTGAATAAAAAAAAAAAGAAGAAGAAAGCCAAAAAAAAAAAAAAAAGGAAAATCACATTTTGGTCTGTTTATGAAACCTATATAAGTATTATACTACTATTTTCAGAAATGTAGCATTTTAACTGTGTTTCTGAAATTGGCTAGAATGAGAAATAATGTTTGGTTTAGAACATGGTAAACCAGCTGTGCACAAGAGTTTTGGAGGATTTTTTTGGTTTGTTTCTTTTGACTTTTGAAACAACGTAAAAATCATTCAAATTAAATTCTGTACGTAGAAGTTAGGCATATTAGAATGTGAAGCAGCTCTAAAGCAACATGGATGACAAAAATGACTCCACATTCGTGGATCTGATGTCTACACAGTAGCTTGTTTTATATGGATCACAATAACTCATTGCAATGGAATACTAGAGAGCAAATTCAAGATAGAAAATATTTAGTGATGTGAATACCATAATGAGGAAGAAGCCAACATTGTGTAAATGTTAGCAATCGCTAGAATGGGTCAACTGAAAGAAATTCAAAGTCTCATCTGGAAACATAACAATCAAGATGCTTTAAGCACCAGCATTTCTCAAATTTCATTAAGTGAAGAGAAAGGTAAACGAACAGTTCATTTATCATTCAGTCAGATTTATTAAGAACTACCTGCAGAGACTCCCTCAGCCATTTAAGAAATCCTACTGGTGGCTGGGTGCTGTGGCTCATGCCTATAATCCTAACACTTTGGGAAGCCAAGGCGGGTGGATCACAAGGTCAGGTGTTGGAGACCAGCTTGGCCAACATGATGAAACTGTGTCTCTACTAAAAGTACAAAAATTAGCTGGACATGATGGCACACACCTGTAATTCCAGCTACTCAAGAGGCTGAGGGAGGAGAACTGCTTGAACCTGGGAGGCAGAGGTTGCAGTGAGCCAAGATCATGCCACTGCACTCTAGCTTGGGTGACAGAGCAAGACTCCGTCTTAAAAAAAAAAAAATCACTGGTATCACTCCTAGGCTTCCTTTGAGAGTGACTGACTCCCAGCTGTGTCCCACTGAGACAGTGTGAAAGGTGACTGAGAACATTATTTCATTTTCAGGCCTGGAACGAATGCTTAAAACATACTCCAGCAACTCCTCCTTCTCTGATGCAAAGAGCCAGAAAGACACAGCAGCGTTAATGGATGAGGTAAATGTTTGCAGAGTGCAGTTTCCTAGATTTAGTGATGAAAGGGTTATTTTTAGAAAACTTGTTTCTGGTCCGCTTGGCCTTGTTTGCCTTTCCTTTCTCATGACATAGAACAATCCAGTGGGAGAGCTTATAAGGTCAGCTTCATAAGTCATTTGAGGGATCTGGAAAAATCCAACTACCTAGAAATGTTTGCTTTGGTGTCCTAGGAAGTGTGTCTAAAATAGTATTCTCTAAAACAGTCATTCTTTAAGGGCCTAGAAAACATGTGCACTTTAACCCAGTTAAGAAAAGTGACAGGAAATACAGGATCTGCATTCAGAAAGGCCTGTATTTAGATTTAGTTCTGCTGTTTACAGGGACCTGGGGCAACTTTAGTGTTCTCATCTGCAAAATGGGGATATTGGTACTAACCTCATGGGGTTTTTATGAGAGTGAAATATTATTTAGTAAATGCTAGCACAATGCTCACAGGAGGAGCTCAAAAACTAGTAATTTTTATTAAGACAGTATTTTCCATTCATCCCTCTGCTGATCTCAGTTATCGGAGAATAACAGGAGAAAGGAAAGACGTGGCTGCACAGAGGGAAGAGGGCTGTCTGGGGTGTGAGGCAAAATCTTGGGAAACCAGGAGCAACTTTGGAGGCGAAGTTCTTTGAGGGTGGGAATTGGGGTGGGGAGATGGTAGAAGAGGCAGGGAGGTGGGCCTCCTGGCCTTTGTGCTGAGCGTGTGAACTCTAGCCCCAAAGACATTCGTGGGGACTGATGGACATTTTGGCCACTTCAGAGGAACCCACATGAAAGGGGTAGTTAACAAAAAGCTGATGAATTTTACATAGGAATAAAAATGAACAGATACATAGCACCAGTGTGCAACATATGGGTTTCTGCTGTGATTAGAGATCAGGAGTGGACTGGGGTTAATCTGAGACTCATTTAAGGAGATAAATTTTTTAGCATTGTTTTGAAGGATACAGGAATCTGGGTGTTTTCTTTTTCTTGCTTATAGCCTAACTTTCTTGTGAATGTAGGTACCTGATAATTGTACCCAGATTGGCAATTTCAATAGTTCTTTGGTGAAAGAAGACAGATGCAGTGAGGTATCGCTGACCTAGTGTTTAGAAAGGCTTTCTTGAGTAGGGTGCTGTTGCAGAGACAAGCCTGACACTTCTCAGGAAAAGAAAGGCCTGCATTGTGTGCACTTGGGAACAGCGGTCTAACTTACCTGCAATGACCTGTGGCTACAATTTTTATGAAATTATAAAACAGACTGTAGGACATTTTCTGTGACCGCACAAACTGTTAACTATTCAATGCAAATAACATGTGCCAAAATAAAGTCATAAAAAGCATTTCATGATGCCATTGGGTTATACATTTATTCCTTTGGCTGTCCTTGCACAATTTTGTCATTGTCATTACCAGCATACGTGTATCAGGGTCATCTGGGTCCTCTTGCCTGAAGCATACAGTGGAGGACAAAAGGAGGGAGAGGATCTGACCCTGGAACTTCTGGTGTTTATGATCCGGTGAAGGAGCAACTGTGAACCTTTAAGTGATGACTGCCAAATATCCGCATGATTTCATTACACATGCTCTGCATCTGGGTAGACAGAAACTAGTGATACTGTTAGATTTTGTGTCACCCAGGGAAGGTTTCTAGGATGAGGAAACTTTTATTTAAATTCTTCCTTATTTCACTGTATCTTGGTCCTTGAAGTGCCATATTTGAATCAAGAATGTTCACAAGCAATGTCAGAGGAGAAATTGTTGAGAAAATTGGAGGCACTTAGATTAAATACTGTCTTTAGATACCAGAAAGAGGGCCACATACAAGAGGAACTAGATGTGCTCTATGAGACTATCAAGTGAAGGTCTAAATAGAAGGCATGGGGGAGCTTTTAGTTTTGTCTTAGGTAAGCCTGCACCACAATGTAGTGGATTCCTCCAACGATTAGAGACCTTCTCCATCAACTGGATGTCTTCTGTCCATGGTTGTGACACCCTGGCAGGGATATTAGGGTTAAGGAATTCCCATGCTGGAGGTGTAGGGGAGAGAGGGATAATGGTGATGAGGGGGCTGGATAAGCAGGACCCTTCCAATGCTTAGATTCTGTTATTTAATTCACTTTGGCTGGACCCAGCCTGACAGGGTAATTATAAAGTTTCTAGTTCAAGGTCAAATCAAGAACAGACAGAGACTAGGAGTGTATCTTTAGCTTGATTTATTATTTTTATACTCAAATACCCTAGAATATTGTTCCCAGTTTCCAGAAGTATTCCTGTAAACTTTGTGGGTAATATGAGACTTCACCTTCTCAAAGAACAAACGAACTTCACATTCAATTTCATTTGATTCTATTGATGTTAACTCAATTCTGTTCACAATATTGAGCACTGATGGCTCACTTTCTTCACAGACCACCAAAAATCTACCTTCTACAATCAACACTTACTCCCTTTCTCATTCCTCAGCAGAAAATTGAGTCAAAGCTCTTCATTGCCATAAAATACTATTACCAAGGTTTCCTGTTTACCCCAGAGTACAGAGTGAGACACACTCAACAACTAAAACCACCGTCTAGACTGCTTAAAGAGTTTATTCCCCCATTTTTTTTCCTTCGGCATTTTCTATGAATAGCTGTATGAGTTAAATGCGTACTTTTCTAACCTTTGTTATTTTGAAAGTTATTCTGATACGCCTGTACAGTTGTGCCTCATTTACTAGAAATTTGCTCACATGGCCAAATGATGTATCCACAGAACAATTTGAAACTAGACCTTTTGGAAGCAAACTCCTACAAACTGTCATCAGTGTTAGCAGAACTTGAGCAAAGACCTCAACCCAGCCATCCTTGCAGTAACTCCATCTTCAGGTGGAGGGAAAAGGTAACATTCAAGGAGACTGGTTGTTAGTTCTTGATTGGGCCTGCTGGGTGGAGTGGCTTAAAGTAGCATCAGGGCAAAAAAAGATATTAGGAATTCTATGTGATATTAATATTCATACACTTAATAAGATAAATGTTTTTATTTCTTTTGAGCACAACAAGAGCTAGACACAACCGAATACACTCTGTGTACACCAAACTTCTATGAGGAGCTAAAAAACACTTTCAATGTCTTCTGGCTCATCATACCTGAATTTTATCCTTTGGAAGTGCTTTTACAGTAAAATTTCTATTAAATTGTATTAGTCTCATCTGTTTAACATGGTGCCTAACGCAGATAATGCATCAGTACAGCTCTGAAATTCACATACACCTATTTTCCTAGTGCTGCACTCCAGGAGTGGATGAGCAGGTGAACGTACATGGCAGCTATTGCTTGTGGTTACTGATCAGAAGGGGGAGCCGTAATCATCTTGTGAAGGGACGGTTTTCTAAGAGGCTCAAGAGCTCAAAAACAATCTCAGTCATTTAGAGGGTTGTGATCATTTCACTTGCATTAAGCCAACTAAAGTTGTATTTGTAAATGTAATGTTATGAATGTTACTATTTGACCTAGACACACAGGTTAGAATTGGAAACACAGGCTATAAAGTACAGTAATTGTTTAATTTTGAAAATATTAAGGCTTCAACTCAAAACTGAAACACAGTAGGGCTTAGAAATCTATTGAATTATTTATACCCCTCAGTTTAAAAACTTCCAGTCCAGGCGCAGTGGCTCATGCCTATAATCCCAGCACTTTAGGAGGCCGAGGTAGGCAGATCACCTGAGGTCAGGAGTTCCAGACCAGCCTGGCTGACATGGTGAAACCTGTCTCTATTAAAAATACAAAAATTAGTCAGGCATGGTGGTGGGCACCTGTAATCCCAGCTACCAGGGAGGCTGAGGCAGGAGAATCACTTGAACCCAGGTGGTGGAGGTTGTAGTGAGCTGAGATCATGCCACTGCACTCCAGCCTGGGTGACAGGGCAAGACTCTGTCTAAAAAAAAAAAAAAAAAAATCTTGAAGAAAACAGCTACAGAAGAGTTAATTTTCATGAATGTTTATGATAATCGTGTTATAAAATATGACTTTTTATACCATTTGAACAGGAGCATACTCATAGCTATGTGAAAATATCTCGGCCTTTTTTAATGAAGAGATTAGAGAGTATTGTGAGCAAAGCATCTTCTGGTGGGCAGAGCAATCCAAGTTCTTCAACTCCAGGTAATCCCATGCCCACAATCCTTTTGGCCTGGGTCCTACTGGCAGGGCACATTGCTACATTTAAACTTTATTTTCAGAGCCACTTTGATCTGTATCTGTTTAAGGAAATTTATATTTCCATCGGGACTGATTAATTTGTTAGACTCTGTAGCTTTATGTAAAAATGGGAGAAGTTAAGAAGAATAGAGGGTTGGGAAAGTATTTTATAATATGAGAAGTTGCCTCAGATATCAGATGGCTGGCATCCACCTTATTCAAATGGCCTGTTATTTGCCATCCACATAATCACACTTAAACCATTGTGAGGAGCTTTGTCACTCTGTCTCCATAGCCTCCTCCAAACTCCCATAAGAAGCCTGTCCTCTCTGCGAGACACATAGTGATCCAGGTGGTTTGCCAGGGCTTGGACTCATGGCCTACAAACCCCCATTAGCAGTCATCTGACTTCAGTCATTCGTGCACCCACACACCACACTGCTCTTCATCTTTCAGCATACACACACATGTCACTGTCCCTGCATGTTCAAGTATAATTACCATAATCTTGACTATCTAGTTTTTTAAATTAGAAATTGGTTAAAAAAAAAGAACTTCAGTAAAACCAGGACATTATGGTTCACACGATGTATTAAGGAGTCACTGCTGCATTGTTTGAGAAACAGTTCCATACACAGCTAGGGATGATAACATGCACATGCCCCAAATATCCCCTATTTATATCTGAATGGCAAAACTGGTGAATGTTTTCTAAAACATGCATGCAATGTTTTTCTCTAGACTTACTATTTCATGTATTATAATATAGTTTTTGATTATATAACATATGCAGTCCATACATATAGAAAGTGCATCATAAATGGTTTTTGAATCAAGGAATGAAATTATGTAAAATTACAAACTTTCCTTTTGAGAAAAATTTAATATATTGAAACTCTGCACCACACTGTTAAATAACCAAAGAGCTTCAGCTCATATTCATTTGCCTGCTAACACAGCATAGTAATTACAGCTTAATCTATTTCAGTCCCTGGTGCAGCCCAGCTCAGCAGCAGACTTTGCAAGGCCTTATATTCTTTTCAAGCCAGGCAAGATGATGAGTTGAATTTGGAAAAGGGTAAGAATCATTCTCAAATATTTTAATTGCCTTCCCATATTGAGATTCTTAGCATGAATAAAACCCTGTCTTAGTGTGGCAGCCTTAAGAGTTACTACCATGTCAAATCAGTTCACCCTTCTTGAAAGATAAGCACATCTAAAACAAAAGCTCGCATAATGATAATAGCTAACACTTACTCTGTTTTCTATGTGCCAGACATTGTTGCAGGCATATTGTCCAATTTAATATTAATGAAATCTTTGGAGGGTTTTATTGGTTATTCCCATTTCATAGCAGAGGAGACTGACACACAGAAAGGTTAGGTGCTTTGGCTAATGCCACAGGCTGTGGCAGCGCAGGATTTGAACTTGGAAACACAGCCATACTCCTAATCACAATGCACACTGGGGTAGAATGTCAGTAATGGAAAGTGATTAGAGGTGTACCCCACCTTTTTATTTTTTAGAAGCTAGACATGCAGGAATGTGAAGTGACTTCCTCTCTCAACTTAGTGAAAGTGCAAATTCTAGAACCTAGGTCAGCTGACTCCCAGCTTAGTGCTGGTCTCACTTCTCAGAAAAGCTTTTTATGTCCAGTCTAAAGAGTAAGACCCCCTTCTTTGTGTCACAGAGTTTTACTTAACATGGAAAGGTGTTATATAGTGGCTTTATAATATAAACCACAACATTATTAAAGAAAAAAGTCTCCAGCGTCAACCTTCATTATATGTCCAGTTAGAAACCACGTTTGGATGTTAGTGCTAAGACAGAGATCTGGAAACGGAAGGGTTAGTGAGAAAGAGTAACGTTGTGGGAGAAAGCATATTATCCAAAACAAGAACACGGCTCCCAGAGCCAGTGGAAAATCAAGATACATTTTGTAGCCAAACGACAAGGACACCGCACATTTGCTATTTATTGGGTGTTTCCTTTGCAGCATTTGCCAGTCATCTCTCCCCAGGCAATTACTTTTCTTCCTATGTGAATAAAAGACATACTTCCCAGATGCCACCTAGAACCCATGGATGCTGCATTTGAGTTATATCATTCACAATAAATTGATTATCTTGTTTTCAGTTCTCTGCTGGTTGCAAAGCCTGCTTACACTTTATATTCTAAGTAGTTTCTTTCAATGAAACACGACATTAGAGGCTTAGGAAAGCTGGCAATACAATTTGAAATCATTTGTTGGAATTCTTGTTAATAGATTATGTCAATTTACTGACCTGAGAGAACCCATTAAAGGCAGAACTTAGAGACTGAGAATGATCTCCTTTAAGAATAGCGATTTATGACTAAGAAAAGACAGAAAAGGAGTTAATAGTCTCCTTTGTCTTAGAAAGAGAATTGCTGAGTAAGAGTGAAGGGAAGACTGAAAAATCACCTCAGAATGACGCTAAAGAAAAAGAAGCTCTTGGATCCTGAAGGGGGCAGATCTTTCTACTTTTATGACAAGAGCCATGTTTCTTGTCCAATTTGCTATGGAATTCTCTTTATTTGAATCATTGCTTTAAAAAATATTGTCTCCAAATTGATGTTGTATTAAAGTTGGCTAAGTTGTTGAACGGGGAGTTACATTTCTATGCAAAGTTGTGAGTTAAGCTTTTGGACTATGAAATCAGGTATAATGCAGAGGCATTGTCTTGATCTTAGGAAAACACTGTTGGTGAGACATACTTATAGCAGCCAACATGCCAAAGTATCATAAACACCAGCATGTGAAACCCTCAAAGTATGGACACCAAGAAAGACTTTGGTGACAGTCCATCAGCTACATAGAAAGTGAGCCAGGCAGCGTAAGGATATATGACCCAAGGTGATTTTTTTTTTTTTTTTTGAGACAGAGTCTTGCTGTGTCACCCAGGCTGCAGTACAGTGGTGTGATCTTGGCTCACTGCAACCTCCACTTCCCGGGTTCAAGTGGTTCTCCTGCCTCAGCCTCCTGGGTGGCTGGGACTACAGGCGTGTGCCACCACACTCAGCTAATTTTTGTATTTTTAGTAGAGATGGGGTTTCACCATGTTGGTCAGGCTGGTCTCGAACTCCTGACCTTGTGATCTGCCCGCCTTGCCCTCCAAAGTGCTGGGATTACAGGTGTGAGCCACCACACCCGGCCAATCCTGTTTTTAAGCAATTATTTTATCTCAGTTGTTCATTATCTTACTCTTTTTAGTATCCTCTGGATTATGCCTGCTTTATACACAGGTGTTTGATACATTTGGCTTCATCTGAATCAAGTGCAGAAAATGACACTACCAAGTAACTCCTTGAAGCAGAACCTCCTTAAAACTCTTATCAATCGGGCTGAAGCATGTGTTCATATTGCAGAGACCCATTTGTCTGTGTATTTTCACAGGTGACATTGTGATTATACACGAGAAAAAAGAAGAAGGATGGTGGTTTGGATCTTTGAATGGGAAAAAAGGCCATTTTCCTGCCGCTTATGTGGAGGAGTTACCTTCAAATGCTGGCAACACAGCTACAAAGGCATAAAACAAGACTCTGAACATACTACCTTCACACTCTGTAACCAACAATACAATGTGGTTCAAATAAGAATAAAGTGCTATTATCTTTACAGGTTTTTCTTTTGAAATGAATGGAATTTTACCTGCATGTCACAGCACTTTGCATTCATGATTATTAGCTTGAAACAGTCAGCTAAAAGATGGATGGGTGGAGACAGACAAGGAAGAGGCTCCTTGGTTCCTAGAGTTTCTGAATTCTAGGAGACCCTAGAGATGATCCAGTATAACCCCTGGTGTCACAGAAAGAGACTGAGTCCAAGGTGGGTTCAGCTGCTTGCCTGAAGTCACAGAGTTATCTGGTAGACAACAGCAGTGAGGACTTAGATGTCTTTTTCCTCTGGATTTGGGTGGCAACAGAGCACAGCAGGCCTACGAGGGGGTCAAGCAGAGCCTGGGAAATGAGGAATACAGATCAATTCCAAGCAGAGAGACAGGCAATCAAAACACCAATGAGATCAACCCAAATTAGGGGATGGTAGGATAAAAGATCCAAAGAAAGGGTGGTAGACAAAGGTCCAGCTCCCAGGCTGAGGGCCTCGGGGCAGAATGCAGTTTCATCCTAAGCCAATGATCTTCTGAGGCAGTTGCTTCATATATACCCCCTGCCCACCACCAGAGCTGCTCTTAGAGTGAGATCAGGTGTGAGCCAGAGATGGCTAGAGATATGAGAACAAGAGCAAATTGGACAGGAAAGGGCTAGGAGGGAGATAGTGCCCCAAATTTCATGTCTTCTTGCCCATCTGGAAACCTCATTTACCAATTCAGAAATAAGGAATTCTGTACTTCCCAACTAAGTCATTATGGACGGAATATCCTAAGCAGCTTCCTAATGGAAGGACTTTAAATGATAGTGGATTTCTAGTTTGAATGGAAAGTTCAGGAAACCAATCTTCACTATCAAAATGGAATATTTAGGGTGAAGAAAATTTATGGTACTTCCTCAAATGACCCATCATGGGCAAAGGTTGGGAATGAGAGAGGCTAGGCCCCGAAACTACTTCCAAGGGGAACAGTTGAGAGTGAAGAGAAATGTTACAGCAGCTTCTTTCAGAAAATGACCTAAGTTGGCCTGGAGATCTCACACTCCATTGATTGGAAGGTCATGGTCTTCATGAAACTGCTGGGTATGTTTTTACTCTTGTGCCAAATAGGCTGTCCTTTAGAACTTCAATACAGGCATTAAAGGAGTAATTAAAATCCATCCCATTACTCTCCTGCCCCTGACCTCTTTTTTTAAAAAATTCATCAAATTTTATACTTTCAAGAAGAAATTTTTCAAACTGAGGACTATATTTTGCAAGTCTGTACCATTACACTCCTATAGCGGAATATAAGTAACACAATAGATATTTAGATACAGATATTAGAGCTGAAGGAGCGCAAGTAAAATTTGTTATGTGAGACGTAACTTACAGCCCAGAACAGCTCAGACGTTTTAATGCCATCCTTAATGGTGTCTTAATGAAGGCTTTCTGCAAGTAGAAAGTTGGCTGGATAATAGGCCATTAGACCATGAACAGAGATTTTAAATTTATATTTCCTTTTCATCTTACTTCTTTCCATTAAGCCTTGATGGATAAAAAATTATGTAGCAATTGACTGCAGCCTACACCAGACCATTTTCTGTGGAGAAAATCATCATAATGGTAGTTTGACCCTAAAACTCTTTGAAAGTAATTTTCAAAGAAAGACATCTTTTTTTCTTCATAAATCAGTTGTGTTTTATGAAAACATAAATGGTTCCCCTGCTTTGGAATGTTGCTGCAAATTATTTTTGCATCTGACATATAACTTTTAAGCTTCAAAGAAATACTATAAACTAGATGAAATACAAATATAATTGGATATAGCGGACTTGTTGAGTATCTTTTTAGTAGGGCAAGAACTTTCTGATTAGATAGATGGGGATGATACTCCAGAAAGATTTAGTGCATATTGTGGTGAACATTAATTATGGGCTGAAGTCTCCTATATAGAATAACTTTAATGTTAGTGCTTTAAAACTATTAAATGGACTTTCATAATTATACTCCACTAAGTTTTGTATGTCAGGAAGTTTTTAGTACCATTGACAACCTGAAATATAGGCCGCAGAGGCCGATATTGAGCACATTGATGTTACTCTATTTTAGCTCCTTTCTAGTAGAGGAAAAGCTGACATATCCATCATGCTATCAACCAGAAAGATTTACTAATTTCATTTTTTTGCATTTTCACTTACCCATAATAATTAATATGCCTAATGACAAGGCATTTTAATCACTTAAAGTGCCTTATGATTCATCAAAAATGTAATATTCCGTTTGGGGGTAAATGTTATTGTATAGTATTATAAAACTTTAACTGATCAGTAATTTGAACACAGTTTAATTTTGTTCTCCCCCAAGATAAAACCCGTCCCCTCCCAAAGCCTTGACGGCCTTGAGGGGTAATCAGCCTGGCTGGGAGAAAGAGAAGTGGGTTAGATCAAATAGCGGCACACCCTAGTGTCCTCTGCAATCTCATACAGGAAGATGGGCTTGGGGTTGCGGGGCATGAAAAGGTGGGGTTCGGACTGGGCATAAGAAGGCGGGACTCAGACTTGGGTCAGAGAGTGGGGACACAGCAGAGACGAGCAGAAACCTTTTGCAGAGAGAATGCAGCTACCTGGATAGAGCTGAAGATGATGGATGAGGGGAATGTCAAAGGTCCCAGGATGCTGTGATCCAGCACGGAGGATCTGGATCCCTGGACATTCAGCTGAGCAGCAATGGAGACAGGAGTGAGAAAACCAGTGAGCTAGAGAATCCAGGTTGTGTTTATACAAATAGGAGGTCAGTTCCGGGAAAGTAATGGGAAGTATGGGTGCTTGAGATCAGGGAAATCCTGCCGAAGGGGCAGAGCCCTAGGGATACTAACTGGGTCAGGGGGTCAGAGGAATAGAAGGAAAGCAGCTTTGCTCTGAGGTTGGAGTAAATGGACCTACAGAGAATTAGGGTGAAAACCTCTTTCTCAAAGGAACTATGGAATTGGAGAAGCAGACCTAGGAGGGGAAGCAAACTGAACTGGTTGGAGACAAACTTTGGTTTTAAAGCTCAGGACTAACAGAGGGCTCTGGGTCAACAAAGGGAATCATATCAAGGAGCACCTAGAAGCATGCCACGTATATGGGGAAACTGAGCTTTCCTCACATGGGGCAAATGGGAATTGCTTTGTTCAGTGATTCTTCCAGTGTGGTGCCTGGACCAGCATACTCCTCACACCAGAAGTAGTCTTGGCCGGCCATGGTGGCTCACGCCTGTAATCCCACCACTTTGGGAGGGCAAGGTGGGTGGATCACTTGAGGTTAGTAGTTCAACACCAGCCTGGGCAACGTGGCAAAAACCTATCCCTACTAAAAATACAAAATTAGCCAGGTGTGGTGGTGCATGCCTGTAGTCCCAGCTACGCAGGAGGCTGAAGCACAAGAATGGCTTGAACCCGGCAGGCAGAGGTTGCAGTGAGCTGGGATTGCACCACTGCACTCCAGCCTGGGTGACAGCAAGACTCCATCTCAAAAAAAAAAAAAAAAATCATCTTTGAACTGGATTTTGAAGGATGAATAGAAGTTACCATGTGGAGAGGTTAAGAAACAAAAGATCTGTCACTTAAATACTAGGTCTAAAGACAATGAGTCCTCTTTCTCAAAAGAGCCCCAGTCTCTATTCTTGTAAGGAAGACAGAGCAGTAAATAAATACAAGACCCCATGATAAATGCTGTAACAGGAGTATGACAACAGGTAATGAGGACATTTAGGAGTGAGAGGTTTCAATCAGGATCGAGGAGATCAGGGAAAGTCCGAGCTGCCTGGGAGTTAAGCAAGTGAGACGGGTTGGGTGAGTGCTATAGGCAGATGAGGAAGAGGCACTGCACCTAAGCACTGGAAAGTACACGTTTGTAACAACTGACCAGGCACCAGTCCACAAAGTATCTGGAAATTATCTGACCATAATATAATGTAGAAATCATTAAGAAAATGGTAACTGAAAAAAACTTTGTGCATTTGGAGAACGTGTATGTGTGCCCACACCCATATATGCAAATGCATGTATGCACATACACATATACTTCTAAATAATCCATGGTCCAAGAAGAAATCTTAATGGAAACTAGAAAATGTTAGAAATAAAAAATGAAAAAGACACTATTTATCAAAATCTGTAGTTTCGGGAAAGCAGCTATAAAAAAGTCCCACAAGGAAAGGAGAAATGCTAAAATTAATAAATGAAGCATCCTAATTATGTTTATCAAAATAACAGCAGAATCGACCCACAGTAAAGAACACAGAGAAGAGGATGAGGAGGAGGAGGAGGAGGAGGAGGAGGAGGAGAAATGGGCTGGGCACGGTGGCTCAGGCCTATAATCCCAGCACTTTGGGAGATGGAGGCGGGTAGATCAGGAGGTCAGAAGTTCGAGACCAGCCTGAGCAACATGGTGAAACCTCGTCTCTACTAAAAATACTAAAATTAGCCAGACATGGTGGCACGTGCCTGTAATCCTAGCTACTCAGAAGGCTGAGGCAGGAGAATCGCTTGAACTTGGGAGGTGGAGTTTGCAGTGAGCTGAGATCGCACCACTGCATTCCAGCCTGGGCAACAGAGCGAGACTCTGTCTCAAAAAAAAAAAAAAAAAAGGAAGAAAGGAAAGAAAGAGAGAGAGAGAGAAAGAGAAAGAGAAAGAAAGGAGAGATGAAACAAAATAGAAGAGTATGAACAAGGCTATCCATTGGTTCTTTGAAAGGATTAATAAAATGAGCAAATCTTGGTGAGAATGAAAAAAGGTATGAATAAACATTATAAGAAAAAAGTAGGCTGGGTGCGGTGGCTCATGCCTGTGATTTCAGCACTTTGAGAGGCCAAGGCTGGCAGATCACTTGAGCCCAGGAGTTCGAGACCAGCCTTGGCAACACAGGGAGACACTGCCTCTATAAATAAATAAATAAATACATAAAAAATGTAAGTAGATGCTATAGATGTAGCAGTTATCTAAAAGATAAAATTATATACTATGAATCTTTACACCAATTAATTTGAAAGCCAAGAAAAAGAGACAAATTTCTCAAAAAATATGAATGATCTAAACTTAGAAGAAATACAATAACTGAATGATTTAATAACTGTTAAAGAAATCTAATGAGTACCTTTTTAAAACTCTTCCTACAAAAAAATCCCCACAAGACCAGATAGTTTTATAAGTGAGTTCAAAAACAATAATCTTATTCAAACTTTTTCAGGAAATAGAAAAATATACATGGGAAAATTATAACCCAATGTCACTCATGACTATAGATGTAAAAATTCAAAACAAAATATTCATAAACTGAAGCCAACACTGTATTAAAAAAAGACTGCACATGACTAAAGTGGATTTAT